AAAAGAGCCTCCGTACCTGTTAGACACTCTTCCTGTGTCTCCGCCGCCAGCAAAATGTCATCTACATATTGTAACAAAATCAGGTGGGGGTGGAGGGTCCTGAAGGCAGTCAGATCTTGGTGCAGGGCCTCATCAAAGAGGGTGGGGCTGTTCTTGAATCCCTGTGGCAGCCGTGTCCAAGTAAGCTGACCGGAAATCCCCAGATCAGGGTCCTTCCACTCGAAGGCGAACAGGGGCTGACTCTGGTGGTGCAGTTTCAGACAGAAGAAGGCATCTTTCAGGTTCAACACAGTATACCAGGTGTGGCTAGGAGGCAGAGTGCTCAACAAGTTATAAGGATTGGGGACTGTGGGATGGATGTCCTCCACCCGTTTGTTTATTTCTCTCAAGTCCTGTACCGGCCTATAGTCCCCGCTCCCAGGTTTCTTGACAGGCAGCAGGGGGGTGTTCCAGGCCGACCGACATGGGATTAATATCCCTTGTTCTAATAGTCTTTTGATATGCGGCCTAATTCCTTGGCGAGCCTCGGTCGCCATGGGATATTGTTTGACAGCTACTGGGGCCGCGGTGGCCTTCAGTTCAATGATTAGGGGTGGCTGATGGATGGCCAGCCCCATTCCTCCTGTTTCTGCCCAAGTGTCTGGATATTTGGACAACCACCGATCCATGCCCTCCTGAACAGGAAGGGGGGCACGATGTAATCTGTATTCATCTTCTAGTCGGAGGGTAAGTACCTGTATCGGTGCTCCTGTGGAATCTGTGATTCTAGCCCCTTTTCTTTCAAAATAAATGTGTGCTCCAAGCTTGGTTAGTAGATCTCTTCCTAACAAAGGGTAGGGACAGTCTGGTACATGTAAAAAGGTATGAGTCACGGTCCCTGAGGCGAGCTGGACTTTCCGGCCTGTAGTCCAGCAGTAACGCTTTGCTCCAGTAGCCCCTTCTACCCATATTGTCTTTTTACTAAGCGGGCCAGTCGTTTGGGTGAGGACGGAATGTTGCGCCCCAGTGTCTACCATGAAGGTGACTGGCTGTCCCCCCACATGAAGAGTTACCCTGGGCTCAGGTGGGGGTTCCTGGCCCCGACCTCCCTAATCGAGGTTGAGGATCTCAGCTTTTTCTTCTTGCTGTTTTTTCTTTTTCTTGGGGCAGTTCTTTACCCAGTGTCCTCTTTCCTTGCAGTAGGCGCACTGGTCTTTTTCTAACCAGACACGCCCTCGATCTCCCCCCCTTTCTATTCTGACTTCATTTTCTTTTCTCACTACTGTGGCCAGGATTCTACTTAATTCTTTATTTCGCTTTCGATCTCTCACTGCCTCTCTATCTTCTGCCTCTCTTTTTTGTCTTTCTTCTTTCTCCTCTGGTGTTTCCCTTTTGTTAAAGATCCTCTCTGCCTCCCTTAAGAGGTCCCTAAGACCTTGCCCCTGTAAATTCTCCATTCTTTGGAGTTTACTCCTAATATCAGGAGCTGATTGCCATATGAAAGACATGGAAACACTTACTTCCTGATCGGGGCTGTCTGGATCAAAGGGAGTGTACCTCCGATATGCCTCTTTAAGTCTTTCTAGAAACACAGTGGGCGGCTCGTCTGCTCCCTGTGTCACTGACCTTACCTTGGCCAAATTGGTGGGGCATCTCCCTGCCCCTTGGAGGCCTGCTACAAGCACCTGGCAATAAAGACGTAGGTGTTCCCTACCTTCAGCCTTGTTGAAATCCCAAGCAGGTCTGGTGAGGGGAAAGGCAGCCTCGATCTCGTTTGGCAGTTGGGTTGGTCTCCCGTCTGCCCCCGGGACATGCTTTCGGGCTTCCAGAATGACTCTCTGCTTTTCCTCCGTAGTTAGGAGGACCTGCAGGAGCTGTTGGCAATCGTCCCACGTGGGTTGGTGGGTAAGGAGGATAGATTCTATCAGGGCTGTTAGGGCCTGCGGGTCTTGGGAAAAGGACGGGTTATGAGTTTTCCAGTTATACAGGTCTGAAGCGGAGAAGGGCCAATACTGAAACTGGTTTCCTTCCCCTCCTGCGAGTCGGAGGGGCAGGATGTGTGAGGAATCTCCCTGTCCTCTCCTCTCTCTGAGTCGACCCGCAATGGGAGAGGGAGCGACCTCCGGTCCCTCTGCTTGGACGTCATCTGGAACCGCCGCAGCAGCCTGCGGAGGGGGGTGATAGGGAGGGAGAGAAGATCTTAGCTTTAACCTGCAAAATAACATCAGAATCAAAAGTCCCATCCCGAGGCCAACCGACATTAAACGTGGGCCACTCGGAGGAACAAAAGGTTATCCATTGGTGCTTCTTGATTTCCACAGATTGATTGTGAGCTCGGCTCTTAACTTCTCTCCAGTGATCTAGAGTTAAACTCAGGGGGGTGGTTAGTTGTTGTCCCATTTTGGGGTATTCTAAAATCACAATGAGGCAGACAAACAACAGAAACAACAAAAATAGACAGCCGGCGACAAGGTACCGCTTAGCGCGACTCTGGAGAAAAACTGAAAATATAAAATCAGACGGCGAGGTTGACACTTCGCTCCTCAGGGACACGTATCCTTCAGATGTGTGCTGAGCTCCAAAATATCGGGCTCCCCAGACCATTGGAGTTCGGTCACGACCAACACAAATACACAGTAATACAGAAACACAGACACTGACTCAGATGTGCAGCTCGGTGTAACAGATGACAAGGAGGTTCCTTGTCCAGACGAGATCCACAAAAAATCCTACGGATGAACAAAAAGTTCTACAGACGTGGATCTCACAGGCCCTGGAGCGTCCCCCAGGCTGACAGGCAAGGCTCACAGACTCGTCAGTCCCGCTCTTGCACTGTCCAGAAATACAGACGGGATCCCCAGATTCTACAAATGCTGCACTACCAACAAAACCAGACAATACAGACAACACAGAGGCCGGCCAACTCACCTCCC